CCCCCCCCCCAGCTGCTCTGCCTTTTGTGGTGGATTTGATAGAAGCTTCTCAATCAAGATTGATCCTTTTATATCCGCTAAATGCACAAGTTTAAATTTTCCCTCTCATTACGTTTTCTTTAAGCTACTAATTTACCATCCCTTCTTGTGGAATCCTACTAAGCCAACTTCTTTGTATTGGTTTTGTCAGTGTCAAAAGATTCTATTTGTTTATGAAGTAAAAACTCCGAGGGAAGCAATTGTGTTTCACACTGTAGTTAAGTGCCTGATTTGGTTTGAAGCATTTGATTGCTTACAAGTTATACTAAATTTTATGTCAAAATTGTCTGTCTCTTGCCTTTCTTGAGGTGGTTCTTTGTGAATCAGACTTAAGTATTGGATGTTGCTTGGTGCTTGCCACCTCCTTTTTCACAAGAATATTATGACTTCTTTTTTGGTACGGTAATTCTCTTGTGTTCTTGGCTGCAATATGAAAAGATAGATTTGTAAGATGCAGCAGCTAACACATTTTGTAAAGGTAGATGGGCAGCAAAGTTTTAAAATGTTGATGAGGGGAAGCAAACACTGTGAGCTAAGTACGCCCGTTGACATACTCTTCTTTTTCCAGACTGTTACATGCATCTCTTAAGAAGCTGATGTTACAAATCAGTATTTCATCAGCATTGTGAATAAACTGGATACTATCGGTTTTAGTATTATTGCAGTGTTTTGGGTATTTCCATTTCCACATATAGAGTTAAATAGAGAACCATGAAGGGGAAAAACTAAAATAGGATCCTAGAGGTGTGATTCCAGGAGGCATTGTTACTTTTGTTGCTTCAGATCATGGTCTTGTCCTTCATTTTATGGTCTTAACCTTCATGAAGAAATACTCTGCATCTGTGCCAAGTATTACACAGGAAGATACTCAAATGTGATGGAAAGGACACCAGCAATGAAACCTATAGGACCTACCATAGACTGGCATGGTTATTTAGATTTGTTACTTTTTAACCGTCTGCCTGCATTCAGATTGTTGTCCCTCACGTGAAGTATCAACAGATTTCTGAGTTGAGCAGAGAAACAATAAAGCAAAATAAATACACTTAAATTCTCAAGATTTCCCAGCCATGCATGTGACAGTATGCAGAAGGTATGATGGTATTAAGTATTACTGTGTTCATCACAGGAGTGGATAAAGAGAAGCTAGGTTAAAAAAAATGATATGGATATCAGCCAACTGACAAATAGATGAGACTTGATCTACCTGCAGCTCCCACATTTCATAGCTATTTCACAAAGTAAACTGAATCCCATTGTTGTGGTTTAACGCGGGTGGGCAGCTCAGCCCCACGCAGCCACTCGCTCACTCCCTCCCAGTGGGACGGGGAGAGAATTGAAGGCAGACTCGCGGGTTGAGACAAAGGCAATTGAACAGAGAAAGCACGAGCTGTGTGTGCAAGCAAGGCAAAAGGAGGAAGAATTCATTCCCTGCTTCCCATCAGCAGGCAGGTGTTCGACCATTTCCAGGAAAGCAGGGCTCCATCGCGCGTAACGGTGGCCTGGAAAGGCAAATGCCCTAAGTCTGAACGACCGCCCCTTCCTCCTCCTTTTGAGCAGCTGTTAGTGCTGAGCACGATGCCGTATGGCGTGGAATATCCTTGGGTCGGTCAGGGTCAGCTGTCCCCACTTTCGGTGCCCCCCAGCCTGCTCCTGGTGGGGGTGTGGGGAGCAGAACAGCCCCTGGCACTGTGCAAGCGCTGCTCAGCAGAAACTAACCCATCCCTGGGGGATCAATGCCACTTTGGTATCAAATCCAAAATACAGCACCAGGGGAGCTAGTATGAAACATTAACTCTGACCCATCCAAAAGCAGTGCAGGCACTTATAAGAATGTTCATATGTTCTCCCTCAAGAATCTTTGACATAAAATTGCTCTTTCTTTGTAGCCTCTTGTTTTATAATATACCTGCCATAATAAAATAGATTTGAAAAATAAACTTTTGGGTAAAGTTTTGTTAAGAGGGCATATATTTTTAAAGCACTATTTCTCTGATGCTCCTGTCTGCACTGTTATCTAGAATTGCAACTTTTTTGCCCTCCAGTCACCTACTTTTGCTGTCCATGTATCTTCCTTTTGACTAAGCTTAACCTTACAGTTCCCTCAGTGACTCCACATGCCCTGTTTAGGTGCCACATAACAATCTGCTGCTGCTGCTTGACATCTGTAATAGTGCTTCACGTGTGTCTCTATCTTCCAGCATCATTCTGTGAACTCTCTTCAATGATTAAATACGCTTTAATGCAGTCATACGTACTTTCAAGTCTCTTCTCACAGGCTACCATCATAACACTCAAGTCCATGAGCACCTCCTTCAGATGTGTTTGTGAAATACACATGTTCATTTTAGTTGACTCCCCGAAAAGCTAGCTTTCATAGAATCATAGACTGGTTTGAGTTGGAAGGGACCTTAAAGCTCATCCAGTTCCACCCTCCCCGCCACGGGCAGGGACACCTCCCACCAGAGCAAGTTGCTCCCAGCCCCATCCAGCCTGGCCTTGAGCACTGCCAGGGAGGGGGCAGCCACAGCTTCTCTGGGCAACCTGCTAACTGTCCTCATCTACTGCCCTTTACAAGGTGGTCTTGCAGTGTCAACATTTTGGAGCTCCTGTGGTTTTTGCACCTTTCTTCTTCTTCGGCATTCTTGTGTGCTGCTGCTTTTACTTTCCCGTTCTGGTCTGCAAATTTGTTCTTTCCGAGAATTTAAACATGATATAGTTGTCAGAGTATTTCAGCAGATTTTGGTCCATTTTTCAGAAGCAAATCCCAGAAGCAATTTGATGAGCATATTCTTTTCAGTCCTTAAAACCTTACGTTGCTGAACAGCACATACTTTGAAATTACAAGTTAATTACTGTTTTTTGTTTTAAAGATTATATGTAATAATATGATGATAAACAGATTAAAACTGAACCATTAATAGAGCATTCATCTTCCTGGTAGAAGCCCAGAAAAAAAGCAGTGGAAAGCTCTAGTAACAGCGACAGCGATTCGGGCTCCTCTTCAGACACCTCAAGTGAAGGCATAAGTAGTAGTGACTCTGATGATCTAGAGGAGGATGAAGAGGAGGAGGAGGATCAGAGTGCTGAAGAGAGTGAAGATGATGAATCTGATTCAGAAAATGAAGCACATCACAAAACCAAGAACAAGGTATCACATGTCACTCTGCTGCTCACAGTCTTGTCACAAAGAAAGTGCTGTGTGCTGATAACGTATTGGAAATATATCCTTCTATGGATATTGCTTTGGCACTTGTTTTTTTCCTAGTAGAGTGGTTACTTTTCCTGGTAGCCAATAGAAGAACAAGATTGGAATCTTGGATAGTCTGTTAATTTACAATCAAAAACACATTTAAAAACAGCCATGGCTTAGTACTCCTCTACTAAGCATTGTCTTCACATGCTGAAACTATATGGGGAAAAAAACCACCTAAACAACAAATATGTGACAAGATTGATTTAAAAATTATTATTGTACATCCTCTGCCAAGAACAGTACAATTGTTTCATGGGACTGATGATGTAGTTGTTGGGGTTTTTTTTAAAGGATCCTTACCTGCTCTAATACGAACAGTCAAAAATACATGTTTTGCAGGTGCTAATGCATAGTGGCGTAACAGATATGAAAACTGATGGACAAAAACCACACGAAAAGTCCCAAGAAAAAAGAACACACCAGCAGATACCTCTTGTGTCTGATTCGCAGACTCACTCATCATTCCAGTCCCAGCAGAAGCAGCCTCAGGTTTTGTCACAGCAGCTTCCGTTTATTTTCCAAAGCTCTCAGGCAAAGGAGGAATCTGTGAACAAACACACAAGTGTAATACAGTCTACGGGATTGGTTCCCAATGTGAAACCTTTGTCTTTGGTACATCAAGCCAAAAAGGAAACCTATTTAAAACTCATAGTTCCTTCCCCTGATCTACTCAAAGCAGGGAATAAAAATACCTCTGAAGAATCTGTCTCTTTGACCAGCGATGTAAGATCAAAACGGGTGAGTGAAAAATCACTGTGTTTTTGATTGTTTGTAACCTGCATTGCCTGCTTAACAAGTTGCAACATGGTACTATCAAGCTCTTTTAAATATGGTATTTTAAAATAATATTTTTATTTATTTTCATACCATCTGTTTTTGACATGTTTTTAGAGTTGATACAGATTTATGAATGATGTGATTAATCAAAATTGTGTGGGTAGTATGTGCTCCTAACTGCGGTGGTTGGTTTTTTTCGGGTGGGTTTTTTTTGGTGGTGTGGTGGGGTTTTTTTTGTTTTGTTTTGTTTTGTTTTCAAAAAGCAGCAAATAGTTATGCTTCTGTGTACATTACAAGTGTCCTGAACTATTCCATGACTATCTCAGAGAAACGTAATCTACTTGGTGATGCATTTGCATGTATGCGTACCCTAATGTATCCCTGGTGTAATCATACACACAACTTACTGTCACATAATGCCAAACATGAGTTTCATGCTCGTCACATAGTGGAACTTCACAGCTCTGCTGGAAAGCAGTCAATGTGCTGGTGAGGGTAATGGGCAAAGGATTTTATCATGCATCTCTTAAGGACAGTGAGCGGCTAAAATCAGTATCAAAATAAAAACAGTAGCATGGGTAAATTGTGTGGCCTGGATATTCTTCCTGTGCTTCTCCTCATTTCTATCAGCGTGCCGATTAATATTTTTCCATTCTACTATGTAAGAATGGATTTGCTTTCTTTCAAGTTGGATGGTTTTAAGTCAAAATAGTTAAAATTACCTATTTTAATCATGATTTTAAACAAAGTAGCTGAAAGCCTTTTTTAAAAAAAGTTGGATTTAATCTTGGGTTTTGTTTGCTCTTGAAAAGACAGAACAATACTCATGCACTGATAGCTATTAAAACTCGTTATGGCAATTGCAATACATTGATCTTCCTTTTTACTGGTCAGGGCTCTACAGTATGTTTACATGTGTCTGTCGTAGCAGTTCTGTACCGTACAAAAATTCTTTGTAGATTTTCAGTTTGCTTATTTTGTTAATAGTGATTATGGTGAGTAGTGATGAATTTTCATAATTTCTGTTCAGTTCGATTTGAATGAGAATTAGAAGGAAATAAAAATTCCCATTTGAGGAATGGTGAGGCTTGAGATAGGTATATATATTTATAGGGGGATGTGTGTATGTATATATATATATTAAGAGGTACATTTACCAAGGTAAGTTTTATTATAAAAAACAAACTTTGTTTTAAACCTAAGTAGCGTTGGAGAAGAGTAAACTGAACTATGATTTGCAGCTAACGCGGAGTCCTCATTGAGGACTGAAAAATATTTTTATCACATAGTTTTTATTCCTAGACCAGAAGAGAGAAACTGTTTTTCCTTTGAAGTCCCAGTTAGTTCATAAAGTTCAAATTAGCCAGTCATTTACCTGAAAAGTTAAATAAGTTATAATTATGAAAACATATGTCTTTGCCATTGGAAGAGGCTTCTGCTGTCAAATTTAGATTATGAGACTTTAGCTGATGATACATCACCCATTCAGTGGTTTGATTTATTTAAAACTTTTACTGGGAACATGCACCATATGAATATTTATTTTATAGGTTTTTGTAATTTCACATTCAGTTTTAAATATTAGTAACTTCAAGAATGTATTGTGTTGATTAAAAGTTGATTTGAAATGTACCATCTTTATCCATTCTGTCATTTTTTTCTTCCATCAAAGAGGATGTGTTTTCTTTTTTCCTTGGAAGAGTCTTGAGACTAAAGACAGTGCATTACATGCATTTCTGAGCCACTACTGGTTAAGGTTTACCTGAAGAACTTGCAAGTACTACTTTTTCAGAGTTAAAAAACTAGCGTATCACAGTACTTCTGAGTAATACCTTTTTTCCCATGTATTTTTTTTCTTAAAAATTTTGGTATGCCAAGAGCCTTCTCTTGGTTTTCTGCTAATTTTGTAGCCATTAGTATGTTGTATTTACCTTGTGCTTGAAAATGAACAAATTACTGAACTAGTTTTACATCCACTAATGAGATTTTTAGATGCTGAAATGAGTAAAAAGGGGGAGTTTTCCTATGCCAGTACATAAGAGTAATCTCTTTTTGAAAGTGTCTTTTTTCAAGATGCTGAATATCTTTATGAAAACCACTGTCTAGAGTGAAAAAGCCTCCCTACATAATTTAGATCAGCTTCCTCTTGAGTTCAATTTGTCTTTTCCAAATTGATTTACAGTGAAAATCAGAAGAGAGACTTATGTAACTTGTAGTTACTCCTCTCTTCTGATGTAGCTAGCACTACTTTTGACCTACTAAAAATAGCTTAGCAGATGTTTAAGACTTCATAGAGTTCACCTGCCTGAATACTAAAAAATAAATAAATTTTAAAAAATTTCCACATTTTATTCCTCTGTTTCTTATTTCTTTAGGAACAAAACAAACAGACTTTCCCAACAGCACAGCTAAAGAAACAGGAATCATCTAAGAACCTGAAGAAGGTTATTGCAGCTTTGTCAAGCCCCAAACCAACATCTAGTTCACCAGCTCATCAAAAACTCACATCCCTGGAAAACAACCATTCTAATCCATTCCTGACAAATGCACTTTTAGGTAATCACCAACCCAATGGAGTTATTCAGAGCGTCATCCAGGAGGCTCCTCTTGCACTTACTACGAAACTGAAATCCCAGACCAAGATCAATGAAAGTGTAGCGATTTCTAGTAGTGCCCCCTTTTCTTTGCCAGTAAACTTGAGTGCATGTGGGAAAAAACCAGCTGGTAACCGGACACCTGTTATGCCCTCTACCTCTCCTGTGTTACCTGGTTCAGGAAAGGATAAAGCAGTCAGCAATAATGCAGTAAATGCAGTAAAAACACAACACCGCCATCATTCTGCAAAACTGGTGGTGGAGCAGTTCAGAGGGGTAGACTCAGATGCCCCCAGCAGTAAGGACTCTGACGACTCAAATGATGATGATGACGACGATGAAGATGAAGATGAGGACGATGAAGATGATGATTCTGATGATAGCCAATCAGGTGGTTTAACCTTTTTAATAGGAAAAGCAGAAACTTTATTTTTTGAGTATTGAAAACATGCATTTACCACCATATTTTAAAATAGGGGTAAGAAGTTTTGGGGCAGCATGACTCACACAGTGTCCTACAGAAACCCGCACGTCTTCCAGTCCCCCATTATATCATAGCCAAAATCATGTTTTGGGTATTCTCATCCTTGGTCACATGGCAAATGTGCTTTCAGCTGTCCTGGTAAGATGGCTCCACAGCCTTCTAGAAAGGCTGTCAGAGACTACTTTCCAGATCAGTCACCCAGCCTGCAGTTCATGTACTGCTCATGTGGCAAGGTGCCCAGGAGGGGGATGGAGGGAATAGGCTAGTTGATGGTTGATTTTTCTGGCAGGCAGAACCCATCTGCAGAACAGATGAGGGAATAAACAAAGGCCTTCAAATTGTCAAGAGTGGCAAGAAAGCACGTTTCTGTGCTTCGTTCAGGAGCATGGTAGTCAATAAACAAGATTAGACAAAAGTACCAGGACAGTTGTAAGGCCTGTAGTGTTCATAGTGTTCAGACTACTATTTTAAAGGCTGTTAAGCAATTAAAAAAGACAAGGGCTGTTTTAAAGAGTTGGTTGTGCTGATATCCCTTGGGTCCAGCTCCACCTTCATCATTCTTTTCCCCCCCCTCTTGTCCACAAACCCTATACTAATCCTTTTTTTCTCACAGCTGTAGCCTATCTTCAGTTCTTTGTTCTGTCTGCCCTTTACCTCTGACTCTTCCTTTGCCCAGATTGCCACACTTCCAATTCTGACACCTTTCAGTCTGTACCCAGGTCCATCGTTTGCTCCCTCTTCATGCTAGATTTCACAACCTGTGGAGTGCCCTTCCTGTGGCAATGTTCAACCACTGCCTGGGTCACAGGGGATGTCTTAACTGTGTCTCATTCTAGGGTAAACAATCTCTTAAAGTACTGCAGCTTCTGTCTCTCATCTCCTCATGGAAAACCAAAGAATTCTGTCCAAAACAACAGTGCATTATCGTGCAGAATTACTTTATGCTGTCATATTTTGGTAATTTTAAAGTTTAGGTGGTTAATTGTAACCTTCTATTTATACTCAAGAGATGTTATTAAAAAAATTGAGGTCAGAAAAGCTGCTTATTTAATAAGACAAAAGACTTTGCCAGTGTTAGAACTTAAATGTATTTGCTATTAGTTATCAAGTCATAATGTGCCTTTTGCCACACTTTTTTTAAAACAGAGTCTGACAGTAATTCTGAGTCAGATACAGAAGGGTCTGAGGATGAAGATGATGAGGATGATAAAGATCAAGATGAGTCGGATACAGACACTGAGGGAGAAAAATCTCCGCTGAAATTGAATAAAACTTCATCCTCCGTGAAGAGCTCTTCCATTGCTCTTGCAGCTCATTCTACCCCGCTTAACCTCCAAGTAGCAAAGACCCCAAGCTCTGCACCAGCTGCCTTATGTCCTGAGTCCCAGCCTGCGGTTTTTCTTGGGACAGCACCATCTACTCTTACACCAAGTACACACTGTGGTATCTGAATGTCTTTTGTTATAGTACAATGTAATATCTAAGTGGCATGTGTTGTAAAAGTAGTTACAAAATTAGTTTAGACACGGGTATCAAATGATACCTTGATATAAGAAATTTTTTACAGTAAGAAAAATCATTCACTGGAACAACCTCCCCAGGGATGTGTGGAGTCCCCGTCACTGGAGGTTTTCAAGATGCAGTTGGACAGGGTGCTAGATAATCTCATCTAGGCTCCCTTTCCCATGAAAGGTTGGACCAGATGATGTTTTGAAATCCCTTTCAACCTGGGCTGTTCTGTGGTCCTTTCACAGGTGTTTGCAACAGACATTAATATCAGTCAGCAGAATTGCAAGTTCTCAAGACCTGAACATTACACTTAGTCCAGAACATTTCAGGTCCTGTAGTTATTTGAGAGAAGATAGGATGAAATAACCAGAGTTCATATTTATTACATTAAAACTCTTCATTATTTAGTCTTTGTTATTTACAATTTTTATTTATTTACAATTCTTATTTATTTTTAATTTCTACACATGATAATTTCCATTCTGAATCTTCTGTTTCTGCCCCTTCCTCAACAAATTTAATGACTGTATTTAGTTAAATTATAACTTTATTTATTATTCTTTCAAAATTCTCAGTAGAATCTGTGGACTAGGTGCAAGGAATTATTTTTAAAATATGGAAAGTACATTTAGCATTTGCCTGATGTTATATAGTGTTTATTATCCTTACTTTGGTGAGTAATTTGTTAGATTTAGTAATAATACTGCTACAGAGAAGAATGTTTTTCTGAAAGTCACACTTCTCAATTTGCATGATAACCATTAAACAAAATAGCATATTTACTACTTTGAATTAGACACTTGATAGTTAATTAACATGCAAGTAAGTAGATTTTAAATGGGGATGTTGGCTCATAAATTTTTTTTTTATATTTGGATTCAGTAGACCAGGAATTTCGTTCCCTGTCATCAAGAGCATTAACTTTGAAGCACTGTTATGTGATCTACTTCATATTTTTTTCCCAGAAACAGACCTATTCATCGCACAGTTTGTAAAAGTTTTCCCATGCATTAGGAGTAATCCAAATTGTTAAAATACAAAGTTAATTTTTTTGCTCAGGAATCTGTGTTGATTTATGATGCTTTGAAAAGGCTGATAGATTTTTGGTTTTTTTTTTTTTGGTCTGTTTACAGAGGTGGAAGGTAGAATAAATTAATTTAATATCCTTGTTTTCGGTGTAGTACTTTTTTCCTAATACAAGTCACAGTAATACAATTAAAATATTTTTGTACCCATTTTACCTAAAGCTGGTCAGTTGATGAAGAGGTCTTGTGTCTCATCTCTGTATCTGTTTTTCACTGGACAACTCATTTTTCTCAGTTCACTTGTATTTGGACAAGCAATCTCCCTCCCTCCACTGTGACACTTAGAAGTAACGTAATAGTCAGTCCTGTTAGTTTAAGACTGCAGACCGGTGTCCGAGAAGTTTGGCATTCAAGCACGGGCAGTTCCTCAGTGCTTTCTGTAGAGGACTCTTAGCGGTTGCTTCCAGATCATGCAGGTATCTGATATGGAAATCTGCACCATGACACCGTACGACACTCCTGGCTGTAGGAGGTTGGAGCAAGTTTCAGGGGTTCAGCCTGATAACGATACTCTCTCACGTCCATTTCCACAGGGAGGAGAATCTGTCACATTCTTTACACAAGGTCCAAACTTCCTTTTTGAGAAATGCCTGTGTACATAGTTCATGTCCTACAGTTCTCCCAGAGGCCTGAGAAAATTATCAGCCTTCG